CTTAAAATTAATCATATCCTGAGCTGTTTGGAGACAGCATGTCTGCATCAAAAACTTGTGTTAAAAAGTCATTATGATTACAGGGGAAGCTTCCACTTAACATGATTACTGTGACCACGCCCTGCCAAGACGTCAAGCCCAACACCTTTATGATCGAAGGTAAATACACTGAATCAGTGAGCTGCTACTGCCGTCTCTTTAGCACACTGGCATTTGAAAAGGGGATTTAAATGAGTGTACATTCTTATGCATGTTTTTACATACTATGTGGCCTTTCCATGAATACGCTTGTGTCACAGAATGTAACCCTCCAAGAATGCACTGTTGCCACTGCGACCCGACCCCGGATAAGCGGAGGAAAATGGATGGATGGATGGATGGAAGAATGCACTGGCTTTATCCCCAGTGAATGACAATCTCACTGTAGCACATTCCAGTGACCGAACAGACCGAATGACAGGCTTTGTCCCTCCTCTCTTTCTTACCAGGGAAGCTGATCAACCCCATAGTGGTGTCGTGTCTGGATAGGGCCGAGTTCTGCAACTGGATCCAGCATTTCAAAAGTGCTGACGTGCCCGTTCTCAGCCCCCCGCCCCCTGTGTATGACATCATCTACACCCCGACGCACAGAGAGGTGAGGCCCGCCCTCTTTTCTTTCAACAATCACAAGACTCGTGTATGAGGACAAGTGATAAAGACAAGCAACGTGGCCCTGCCTCTTTTGTAAATTGACATTCAACATGACTATGATTTATGATTGACAACTTCTACAAACACTACTGCTATTAAGTCAACAGTCCAATAGAAGTCGATTAAAAGACACCAGTCTGATGCTCAGTGGTTCTCAGACAAATATTTTAACTCTAGTATTTTTTTCATAATAGGCTCCACAGTTTGACAGGTGGAGTGGAAACAGCCATGGACGCACTGAGTCTCTTAAGTTCAGCCGTTCCCCGAGTGGATGTGGGACCCACAACCTTCAGTTACCCATCCATGAAGACAACCCTCTCTCCCCGGGATACACCGAACCCCTCTGTGTAAGTCACCTGTGTGCTACTTCTCAAGTTCAAGTATTCTTGAACTGATAAACTGAAGCAAACATGCCAACAAGACAATATTTGCACAGATATGAATGTGGTAGGAGTACATTGCTAAAGAAAACCGTGTGTGTTTGTTTTGGTGGAGCTGAGCAGCAAGACCTTCCTTTCACAAAGTTAATCATTAAGCAAAGACCAAACCGCTCCTGTTACAAAGGTTTAGGTGATGATCCTCAGACCTTCCAGTTAAAACAAGTCAGTAATTTCCCCGAAAAAACATAAAATCAACTTTTCAATGTCGGGAAATAAGAGGCTCTTACGGCACATGTTAAACTTCAGTCTCTTTAAGAAGTACTGACGCACTCGGCATTATCAGGACTTTTGACCAGACTCCCACAGGAGAGGGGCTATGTAGGCCGACTGCCCATCCAATTAGCTTAAAGTGGAGAAGGCTCGGTGCCCAGAAGACATGTTGTTTAGCTCCTGACCTGAATCACCACCCTCCCAATTAAACTGATGGATACCTTTTTCTCTCGCACTCAGACTGTGTTCACTAAAAAAACACAAGATGATACAGAAAGCTAATGCTGTGGAGAGGAGAGTTCATAATACCTGATGCCATCTGTGTTTAAGACACAACTCTCAGCTGACTTTTGCCCTGCGTTTGTTTGTTGTCTCTACAGTACAGCTCCAGTCGTCCCTCCTCGACTGAGACTGCCCGCCTGGGCAGCCGGACCAACAGCGTGTCTTCACACACAAGGCCAGAGCGCGACCTACGACCTTTGTCACTGCGCTACTCCCCCCCCCAGCGCAACTCCTACCTCCAGCCACCTGAGAGCTCAATGCGGTCTCAGGTCTACAGCACACCCTACTCTGCCCTGCACCGTGCCAGCCCACAGCGGCTGGAGAAAGCCCCGCTTGTCAAGGTAATTCAGTCTGGCGTCTCACTTGATAACCGAATATTCCCCTTGAGACTGTTGACTTATTTTACATGTCATGTGAGCAGTAACTAAAATAGACACGCCAAGCAGTCGGCTGAGAGGGTTCATACGTATGGTGTCAACAAATGGGGTAATAGTTGCATTTGTGCAGCCATGAGGTTGAAAGATCACTCTTCTCGATGGGGCTGTGATGAAAGCTCTATTATAGTTCATAAACAAAACCTAAGCCTCCAATCAGAAAACATTTACTATACTTATCCCTATCATTACTATGGCAGTTAGGAGTTCAGTTTTTATACAAAACACTGACTGCTGAAAGATTGCTGTCAGATTGCTGTCACACTGGCGCTGCTGCAGATCAGGACTGGCATTGGTCCAACACCTGTATTTTGTAATCGGATCCTACAGTGTGGCTTATGCGATTGCCTTCTGTGAAGAGAGAGAGAGAGAAATACTGATAGAGACAAAGAGACGGAAAAGGGAAAAGTGGCAATTGATTTTCCTCTCATTGTTCAGTGTTTTAAACTAACTGCTTGAATTTTTTATGATCAGTCCAACAGCTGGAGCACCCCTCAGACATCCCTCAACTACTCCCTGAACGCTCCACAGCGCCACTCGGACATGTGCGCCCCCCGACAGCCCTTGTCGCCCCTGTACGATGAGCCCTGCAGCCCCGAAATCTACTCCCTGAATGAGGCCCGGCCAGTGGTAAGTGGGTCAACGATACTGGATCCATAGGTTCAATTTACACCTGCGCAGCCTGTCCGATATCAGACAGCGCACAGCCACACACATGTTCAGTGACAAAATAAGAAAGACTAGTTAATGCAGAGACTTGGCCACATGCAGTAATCTAAGATTGCTGTAAATGTGGGGGGCTCATTCACATGCATGTAAGACTATTACTAAATCTAAATCCATAGACGACTTGTTTCACTATTCTTGGTTGAATCACCTCAAACCAGCTCAGTTACATTTTGATTATATAGCAAAATTTATTCATTTCAGTTTTACCCTTTTTTTAAATTTATTTAACTTCGAGGTGAAATTATCCTCCATGTTCATCATCTTAACTCCCGTTTTACATGATCATAGCTTCCCTTCTCTGATGCATCTCCCTCTGTTCTTTAGCAGCGAAGCTGGCAAGAGCCAATTCAACACCACCACCACCACCAGCAGCAGCAGGGTGCCCAGCCCTTACCCTCCTACTTCCAGCTCCGCACCCCTCCCATGGGGAGGCGCTGCAGGAGAAGCCTGATCCTGACCAACTCCCAGGGACAGACCCTGGGCCTGGAGATGGAGACTGCTCAAAGCCAAGCCGAGCAGAGGGCCGAGGCCGTGTCGAGGCTAAAGCTACTGCCTGTGCCCGGCCAAGTTCAAGAGCAGGTGAGAAACACGGAGATACTCATCTCCCAGGACACTCTGGTTTCTGGAATGCTGTGGTACAAAGTGCATCGGTTATGCGCTGTATGGTAGCGGAGCTTGTGTATATACATGTTCTGCAGGTGATATTTGAACAGATGCCACAGATGAAACAGATATTTTTGGGAACGTAAGAATGTTTGTTATAGCTGATCACGGGAAGTAACTGGTTTGTTTTCACATCTTTTCATAGATCCTCCTCCCGTTGAACTCTGTGAGGAACACCCCTCAAATGCCTTATGGTTACTCACCAGGTAAGAACTGAAGGCATGCCGTCAGAAACATCTCAAACATGCCTGTTTGTCAATAGTGTGCCTGTGTGCAGAGTTAATATATAATATATATGAAATAAATTATTATATGTTTATAGTCCTAATAAAAAAAGAAACAATGGCCCCTGTTTTAAATCGTAGCTATAACACTGTGGTGTCATATTTCATAGTTATGGAGGTCATCACTAGCAGCCGCCTTCCTAAATGCCACCAAGGACACAGGACATTGCTCACACTCCATTACACCTTAAATTAAACACCGCATGCTCTTTGGATTGATTGAACTCTTGGGTCTGTCAGCAGCTAGACAGAAGGCTAAAGGCTACAGAATTGAAAGTGCAGGAAATGCGTAAATGTGCCAGTGAAATGGAGTTTAGTGCAGCTCCAAATGCCACTTGTGCAGATGTCCCATGTGGGGGAAAGCCCAGTGTAAGAGAACACTGTTTCACAGACAGGGTTTACTCCTGCCCTGTGATTGACAGCACACAACTGTGCAGGGTTACACTCGTATCTACGGGCTCTTTTAACACAAATGAAAACACCTCTGTCAGTTGCACTTCACTTTGATTCACACTTTACTTCTAACATGTGCAATGACCGCATCATTTCATCTGACAGATGCATATTGCTACACCATTAGAAAGAAGACGTGAATAACAAATGAAGGTGGTGTAGTAGTGGCATCCTTGTTACATTACTGGTTTTTACGGTGAGATTATATGTTGGTACAAGGCCAATCCCCCCACATGTATGTCGGGACTGTGTCCAAGTTTATTCAGTCAGGTCGAGGTTTGTCTTTCATTGTTTGAAACTAAAAGCCTGGGAATCTTCTCTCGCTCTTACAGATCACAACTCGTACCTTGAACACACAGAACCAGATGACCAGGAAATGGACTATGACAACATTTGGGGGTATGACTGTGATACTGGAATGATTCCGCCAACGTCTGGAATTTCGCCACACTGGACTGGATTAGACTCTGGGGCCAGAGGCCTCGGTGCCATGGCAACCCAGCAGAGATGGTCATAAAACAAAACAATAGCCCGGCACTCCTCTGGACGTGTGCAAACAACAGATCTCTATCAGAGGGATAGTGAAAAAAGCCAACTAGCACAGCCCGTGTTGCTCCTGCTGTATACAGTGTGAACCAACATGAACTGCATTGTTAGATGTTGAGCAGCCAAGCAGAGGAAGGATGAGTGCAGGAATGAAGAGGAACGGGCTGAAAACAAAACACTATTAAAGTAATTGTACACAGACAGACTTGTTCTGTTTAATATGTAGCATCCAACAGAGAGGACAGCAGAGTCTACTGTGTAGCTGTAACGTTATTTTTTTATTTATGCATTATGAAATTGCACTAAAGGTTTCATATGTAGTGCAAAAGCAGTATTTTGTAACATGCTGTCCAGTTTACTTATTCTTCTTTCTTTCGTCTTTATTTAAAGCTATAAACGACATTCCATCAGGGCTTTATATAGCAACGGATGTATATTTTTGTAAATTTTGTCGATTTATTATTTTATAATGCTGCATTATCAAAGCAATTAGATGTGGCTTCAACCGACCTTAAGGGTGCTAATATCACTATTACTACAGCAGTACTGTACTGATACCTGTGTGGCTTCCTTTTTTGTGTTTTCGTTTGAGGTGTTTATTTATATTTGGAAATAAAACTGAAAAACTTGTCAACAACTTTTTCTCTGTTTTGTTTTATTCTAATGAAACGCTTAAAGTGGCTATATCAATAATGTCACTTTATCAAATCACTCATAGCGATGAACCTACAGATTTAATACCTGAATGTGAAGCTCTGCAGCAGCAGCTGTTTTCCCCAAAAAACTCTACATGTCCTGTACACTACCTGCTCAGCACCAGATCACAAGCAGACACAGTTTACCACCAGCTGGTGAACATAGTGGAGCATTTAGCAGCTTAAGAGCCAGATATAGTATTTTATTTCATTTTACTTATTCGGGAGATTGTAGAGACCAAAAACAGAACGAAGTGTAATGTAGCTGGATGTGTAAATATGCAACTGTTTGGTAACACATTTGGCATTTCAAGTTAAAAGGTGATTATATGCCTTTAAATTACAAAAAGTATATTGTTTGCTTTTCAGGTCTGAAATTCAAGTCTGAGTTACTCAAGACTATATTTGGACATACAAAGTACTGTAAAGACCCCACGCCCCAAGTGTATCAGTGATATTTTGAAATGCTTAACCAAGTCCTAACAAGTGCTGTTTTTCAAAATCTAAACAAAATCTAATCCGTTTAGTGTTTGTGCTGTTAGAATACTGTCACAGCTTCATGAGCTGCAGGACACTTTATATTTTATGGCTCAACGTTGCCATCTGCTGGAGAGAAATAGTCATGATCCTTGAAGGGGACAGGATCTCCTATGAATACCCTGCAATGGTGTTGAATAAAGCACATTGTATTGACCCCGCTGCTTATCAAAAAAAAGGCCACAAAGGTTGCTGATTGCTTGTTTAGACGTGTGCCATAAATAACAAAATCCAGTTTCCAACATAGGCATTCTATTTCTCACACAAACAGATGACAACTTTCTCTGTCAGAGACCACTTCCTCAACATAGACTAAAGAAATCATAACAGTTACTTTCATTAAATATCGCACGGTCAAAAACAGTTTGCTCCTGTCTGCTCAGCAACACCTGTATCAAATGACCCTCCTGATGATATTAGCCGGTGGCCTAATTGACAGCAGCACTATGCCCCCAAGTGGTGGGAGGTTGTTCAAAACAAAAAAATACATTAATAGCACGTATTATGTTAATTCATACATTGAACTAATAGGTTTACTGAAAATCAATTATTGTAAATAACTTGAAAACTGCAGCTCACTCAGCTGTGACTGTCCAGCTTCTTACGTGGCCTTACGTTGCCCTCTAGTGTTAACACGTTTCACATTCAGGCCTGAGTACTTTTGGAACTGCAACTACCACAGAGACATTGTTTACTATCGTCAAACTGAAAGACAGCGACATCTCACAGAGCAACTATATGACAGAATACATAACAGCCATCTATCAGGAACAAAATGCCCTTCATAAAGTATAAAAGTGATACTGGCACAAAATACAATCCCTAAAAATGATTATATACTTTTATCAGGGTGTGTTTTTGGTCGTTTCAAAAAAACTGCTATTAACTGAAACCCTTTTCCGTGTCCATTCAATGGAAAGATCAATAAAACTTAAGATCCATAAAGCGATTATAGTGCAAATACGTCAAGCAAACATGTAGCAGCATATCAAACACTTCACAAATTCCATGACGGACTGAGGTCTTGCACTGGCTTGCATCAGGTGTACAAGGAAGAATGTTTCACTTTCAGCGTGACGTAATTCGAGGCGGAGACATCAAGAATCAGACGAGGCGGTGTAACTCATGTTCTTCTCACTGGCTGCCGCCTCCATCGTGACGTATTTACGCAGGTATCGGATGGCTGACAGAGCACTTACATTCGCCAGCAGAACTGTGTGAGAATGGATATTAAAAGTGAGTCACATTAACCATTCAATTCATCTATTCGCATAAAGGTCACTTCTATTGCAGTGCTTTGTTAATTTTACCTCAATATTTACTGGCAGACACATTTTCAGTCCTTAAAAAGCTGAAATAAACTGATTTCAAAAGGAAATTCAAAGTCAAAAGTCAAATGATAGAAACATCGTGACAGATTAAGCAACTTTGTTATTTCAGTCCGTAAAAAAATCTCTAATAAGTGAAAACCTGCAAATCTGGCTTTTTAAAGTACATTAATACTGCATACACATACCAGCCTTCCAGGTGTCTCCAACTTGTGGGTTTGCAGTCTTCAGTACCCACGAAGCAAATGCAATACAAACCAGACACATGTCTGACTGTCTGAGAGGCAGAAGGGAGGCATCCAACCCTTCAAAGAAAGTGACAGATTATCATAAAAAAACATTAAATCCTTAAGTGTGTCACATATAAAGACAATAACCATCCACACAGAGGTCCACTGAGAGGTCAAGGGTTTTATAATTGGCACTAACACACCAACAGCTGAGCACAAGCCCCCAATATTATGTTGGCGCTTCCTGTTCAGTCACACTGTGATCCGGTCAATTCCCAGCCCCTGCACAGATTACTGTTATGCAAACGTACAAGGCTGCTTGATGCTACTGATATTATAAATTATGACTCGAGTGACCTTGAAGATAATCCTAACTGGAAACTGCTGAACATCAAGCGGTATATGAGTAGCTTGTAAGTTTTTTTCTTAATTACAGCTCAGGGAAAGTTTAAGAAGAAGGATTTACACAAACAAAATGTATTAAAGGCATTTTTAATTTCCTTCACAGCCAAACAAACTACAACACTCTAGTGGGAGCTTCGAGAGGACACTCATTGTGTGAAGTCAAGTCATCACGTACAACCCCTCCTCTAGGTTTTCACCACCACGTGCCTGCGGTCCGGTCAATGTCCTCTGACAGCTGAGGTAAGAGAGTCCGTCCCAGCTGACTGAGTGGATGACATATCCTACATTACAACTGTCCATGTGTGAGGAAAACACAAGAGCTTAACTAAGAAAGGTAGGATAGATTACTATTAATACACACTATTTTTCACTCCAGCAGGGAAATATGTACAGGTTTTGATTTAAAAAGTTTTTAGAGATATGCATATACAACTAAAGAGTCAGAGCTATCCGTGTCAGCTTTGTGATAGACCGGCAGCCTCCCAGGTTTCACAAAGATAGTCTGTAAGACTGGTTGATAGAGTTAGACCAGCCTTTATTCCCTTTTAATTTGTGGTTAATAGTTTCACTTTGATGCAGTATGAAAATATTTTACAGGACTTATTTCAATGACTGTAACAGCATATGTTAAACCTTAATTCTGATATTTAATGACACATCATTGTGTTCATTGTGTGAAACTGGACTTACTTGGATTCGAAGCAGCCGTCTGTAAGTCCTCGTGTCTGAAAGGCTGCTGGCACAAAAGTGGATCAGGAAACATCCCGTCTTGCTTTCCCAGAGCATTTAGAGGATGAACTGTCCTTCCAAGGGATCTGCCTCTTTGCCTCACAGGTACACGAGATAGAGGGTTTGAGAGAGTCTGCTTCTGGACTGTAGATCCAGTTAAACGAATGTTCCTGAAGGAGAATGTGGTTTTCCAAAAAAAATTCTTTCTGAGGTCGCGGTCTGTGAAGAAATTCTCATATATGTCTGTAGAAATCGGAGATGTGCTTGATGCAAGGTTAAACCTGGACACCACCCTCACAGGACCGTCTTCTTCTTCATCAGATTCCACAGAGGACTCGTCAGAAGAAGAGGATGCAAAGAAGTGATCATAAGCCTCAGGGAACTGTAGATATCTGTTAGCTGAGCGAGAACAGGCAAAGATGGGAACCAGCTCATCTTTGGTCCGGTCTTCTGCAGGGATGAAAGGGTAGAAGAAGCTTTCGGTATCAAACTCAGAGAAGAAATGGTCATAAGTTTCAGGGACAGAATTTCCATCAGTGTAGCAGGTGGTTATGTTATCTGGGGCCGGTTGGCTGGGAACTGATTTCTTTCCACTGAAGAGATACTGCAATATATCTTGGAGGGATATTCTGTAGCTGTCCGTCGATAATGAAGCTAAAGACTCCATGTCTTTTTGTTGCTTAGGCATGTGTCCATCAGTGAAATACTCTACTTTTTGTAACGCTCCCTCGTCTAAGGTTTGTAAAGTTTGGACTTTCCTTGTGTATCTCAAAGACTCTAGATTATGCACGCTTACATTTTTAGAAATCTTCCTGAGGCACGTTTGAGCACCTTCAGAGGGAACCGGTTTACAAATGTCCCCAACAGATGTCAATGTCATATTCTCAGGGTGAATATCAGCCCCTAGACTCTCCCACATGACACCGCTTGAAGAGGAAGAATTGGCTGCTATGACAGAACCTGAACTTGTTTCTATAGAGTTAGGATGGCTGGGTGTGTTTTCATTGGTTCGTTCAGACTGGGACTCATCCAGTTGAGTAAAAAAGCTTGAATCCGTCACAGCAAACATGCTGGTCTCCTCACTGTCCTGTAAAGGTGGGAGGGAGCTGGGTGGAGCAGCTTTGCTGATCATTCGTAAACCCAGAATATCGTTTATTGTCAGCATCTCCATCTCTCTCCAAAAAGAAGACATAGCGAACACTGAATGCTTTGAATCTGGTGCCTTTTGAGGTTCACATTCTGCTTTAGATGTTGTGATGACGTCTTCTGCTGTAACCACTAAATCATTTGAGTCATTTGATACAGACTGGCTTTTGTATTCAGATGTGCCATCTCCTTCCTGGTGGTTCGCCAGCATTAGTGATGTTGTTTCTCCTTGATCTCCATGGTCATTTTGATTGACAGATAAACAAGAATTTCCTGGCATGTCTGTGATATTTTCATTCGAGATTGCCGTGACAGATTCTGTGTCCAGAGTGCAGCAGGATGATACCGGTGTAATATCTGAAGGACTTGTTGGTAAGTCTTCAGACACGGACGGTTTGGTTTCTCTCTGACCTTTGACTATGATTTCACCAGACAGAAGGGGATTCCCACTTTGAAAAGCCGTTATTTGTGATGCTGCGCAAAGTTTGGATAATGTGTGAGGCACCAGTGGATGTTCGGTTTGCTGTGCTTTATTATCTATATCAAAACTGGTGGGACTTTTAGCAAGAAAGTGTTTATCAGGCAATGCATTGCTGGTATCTGATGTTGATTTAGCAAAGCCCACTTGACTGGAAATCTTCGAGAACGGACAGGCTCTAGTTTTCAATTCCTTGGGTTTTGTGTCATCAAAACTGCTTACAGACAGAGGAAAGTGAGTCCTTTCCAGTGTAGATCTATATTTGTCTCTGTCTTGACAGTCAATTCCCAACTGTTGTTGGGGTTCAGCTTCTCTTTGACACAGTATGTGCTCGGCTCTGCCGGAATTTCCAGCCTCCACAGCCAGGAACGACTTAGCAGAGGATAGTTTGTCATTTTGGCTGACTTCCACTGCGGGATCCTTTGACTCTGCGCTTGATAGAATACTTATTGATTTGACCTCTGCTGTACAATATTCTGGATATTGTTCGTCTTCACAACAAATGATAGAATGATTCATTTTGTCAGACTGCTGGAGACTCCCTGCATGACTGTCCTTTCTTCCACAGTGTGCCGTTTCTGTGGCCAGGTATGATTTACCAGTTACACCGTCACTAATTGAAACTGGCCACCCAGTTGATTCTACGACATGTAATTTGCTGCTTGGCTGCAAATTTGTTGCCACATTACCGCTGTTGTTTGGTGCTGTCATTGCACTGTCATCGGGTTGACTCGAGGAGTTTACTGACCTATCATTAGCTGCACTGTTTTCAGCCGAGTCTGTTGCTTTACACCTGCCCTTTCTTACGATGCTCTCTGGTAAATATTGGTATCGATTGTAGTGAGCAAGATAATCTACTTTGATCTCCTTAACAGATGTATTCACTGGGAGATTACTGGTGGCTGAATAACTAGTTAATGATGAAATACATTTTTTTTGTGGTTCGTTTAAATAGGATAAATGAATATCCTCAGATAAACCTGTTCCTCCTCTCCATGCATACTGTTCCTCCTCTGAATCACTCCGCTTGACTAAAACCTGCCTCTCATATCCATGCACACCGTCAGCTGGCTCAACACTGAGTCGTCTCTTTTTCCTTCTCTTTCGTTTGATAGAGGCAGATGGAGACGATTGTTGGCTCGCGGTTTTGTTGGTGCGCGTCGCGTCCGACTGTAAAACATCTGCGTTTTGGTCACCCTTCCTTTTAACATGCGTCACTATTTCTAGATTACTTGATGAATCAGTGCTACACTTTTTAGAGATAATTAACTGACTTGTCAACACATCTTCCCAATGAACATCATTCAGGGGTGTGCACATTTCCACTATTGTCACACTGTCAGTGTGAGGTGTTGTTTCTGAGCAGACAACCGCCTCCGGTGAGTCATGAGACTGATTCAGCTGTGCTGCCTCATTTACTCTGGTTTCTGTGCAGGCCTCCTCTCTGGTGAATAACCTCGTTTCAGGGTTTGCTGATTTGTTAATCTGGAGCACGAAGCTACTGGCTGCAGGTCCGGGGGAAATCTTGGAGCCAAGCACGTCTTTTTTTATTGTGTTTATGTTGCTGATGGCGTCGACGGGCTCTGTGGTCTCTTTGCCAACTGCTGTTTCACCGCTGGCAGACAGAGAGTTTAACTTGGGGATGTTTTTTGGCCAAGAACTGCTGCTGGCTTGTTTCCCATCACTAAACCGCTCCTTCTCCTGTATTGCCTCTCTGTTTTTTCCATCCCTCGCTTGGCTTGGCTCAGTAAGTTTTTCAGTCTCTGTGAGATTTTTCAGCCTTTCAAAGAACATATTGACAGACTGCTGGTGTATATCCTCCTCGCTGCCAGAGAGCACGCTCTCCATTCCACCGACAGCGTGTTTGCTGAGGTAATGCTCCACAGGAGAGCCCTCGCAGTCTGGGGGGCCATCGATGGGGCGGTCAGCCTCTAAAAGGCCTGCTGTTTGGTCGACTTTCTGAAGCCTCTTAGCAAGAATGGACCCTGTGTCATCAATGTCACTCATCCCCGAGTCAGCACCTGCTAATGAAGGAGGAAGTAGGTTGCACCCTTCGCACTCCGCAAAGAAGCATTCCCAGTCCCGGTCACAGATCTCCACGCTGTATTCAAAGTCCTCCATTTTGACTTTGCAATATGACCTGCAAAAATCAATCAATAGAGCTTTATTTCAAAAGTAATCACTGGTAAAAAATAGGTTATTTAGCTATACATTATTAATTAATTAATAAACGCTCAAGAAACATAATGCAATCAAAAATACAAAAGACTGAGTTGTCACAAACTCTTTAAAAGATTAAAACAGCCATTTGTGGAATAAAAAAAACAAGCATGCTGATTTTTTATTTTAAGCAGGTTTTGCAGCACAATTATTCTAATATAATAATATAACTCGTATCATTTCTAGCAAAATGATGTAATCTAATCTGATATAATATACATCTTTTCAAGGCCGCACTTAAAACTAGTGAACTGAAAATATCATCAGTTAAATAGAATGTAAGTATTTGGAAGCATGACAACAAAAGGAACTTTTCTCTTTAATAATTCTAGCTGTCTGCATATGTACTTGTTCATCCATGCAGGTTTCCTACCTGTCCTGCTTCAGCTGTGACCCTGGTCTACAGGAGGTGAAGGTCTAGGACGGTCTGGAGTCTCAGCAGCACCATGTTGTGTGTCCTCTGGTGAGCACCGTGTGATTTGATAAATATAGAGCGGCGCTTCTGATCACGTAATAGATGCAACGTTCTTACAGCAGCCATCTTCAACAGAGGCATAAAGTTTCAGAACCTTAAATAGACTTTCCACTAGCAAACTGCTCAACTGGATACGCAGTATTTTAGATGTTACTATTGTTTGAGTCGGTGCACATAGCTGTAATGTAGCTGATCCAGATCATTCAGCAGACATAGATTTAATAATTCTATATCTGCTGATTCGATCAGCCCCTCTCAGCAGATGCGGGGGGGGGGGGGGGTGTGAAGTGTGTGTCAGTCAGCTGATACCTCACTGCTGTGATGTCATGGGGCGATAGTGGATCTGAATGTTTCCAGACACTGCAGGAGACCAGAACGCTCGGGGGATGAGACTGGAGCTACGTCACGTCGACTCATGTGACCCACCTAAATGACCTGAGGAACCTTTAATAAAATCATATTAACTTAATTTGAGAGAACATTAAAAGTGTTTCTACTTTTACGAGCAATGGAAGCCTCTAGTTCACTTACATGCAAATGGATCTCTGTGAAAGAGGAGATGTCTTGTCTAGCACTTCAACTTTTAAAATAAAAAGATTTATTTGCATATTTATAGATTTTGAAACTCGTTGAGGCTCATCAATTTCTTATAGTAAACTATCTGGTCTGCAACTGTAAATACTGGTATGTCACTAAGCTGTCATCTACGACAATAAGACACCATATTTGGGACCATAAATGTTTAGTAGTTGTTAGATAATGGATTATTTTTCCAGAAGGTAAGTGGTCCATTTGAGACGTCTTCCTATTGAAAGGATAGTAAAGACAATAGAAGTTATGCCAGAGGATATACAACCCCTTAAATTACTTTTTTCACAACCTGGCAACACAAACATTTTCCTCATTAATGCATTATTGCTGATCTATACAACAAATGAACATTCTGGCGAGCAATGGGAGACACTTGGGTAGCTGAAATTATGGCACAGATGTCAGGCTAAACTAAAAGGCTGACTTTCTGCTTGAATGTGAAATCTACCATTAGGGAGGACGGCTTATCTGAGAAGGTATTGAGCCTTTGTTTACAGCTATCAGTAAGACTTAGCAAAGACAATGTGATTACGGGGCCATCTCTGCTGTCAAAGTGTCAATGACCCTAAAAGATACCAAGATAACCTATCAGTCCTGATCTCATTATCAACTGTTAAACTGTGCTTAACAGATGCATACAGAGTCTTATTTGCAGTTGAAGGTATTGATAAACAATGAAGGCATCCCATTTAGAAAAAAAAACAACCTCACCATATATTCTACTGATCGTTGACGGTGCTCTTTCGTGAATTAGCTTTATGAAAAGTGGTGAACTTGGAAGATTCTTCACAATAAAAGTCTAAATTTTGCAGTATGTTATTAAGCTCACAGCACTTAAAAATGATGAAATTTGGGTAGCCCAATTCATGCATTTGTAAAGAAACACATCGGCCAGATTTTCCTTCACATCGTCACTCTACATTCACAATTTGCATCTCACACTTTCACAGGCTGTAACTACGGCCTTTATTTGCCTAATTTTCATCAGATATTTATGAGAAAACAGACCCTCTAATTAGCCAAACCACGGCCTGGGCTGTGTGCCCAAGAGCCCTCTCAATTCATCAGCTGTGATAAAGGCAGACAAGCCAGGGCCTGTGTGGCTTCTGCACCTGGGGCAGCGGGCCGTTTTGACACGGGTGGGATTCTGTTTCCATCAACAGGATTAAGCTCTTATGAGTCAGTTCTCGGAGTTAAGATTGGAATCTGTTTGGGCTGCTTCACAGTGGCTTAAGCGACATAATTTCACCCTAATTGTTTACCATGTCGGCCCCCGGTAATTCAGCGTCAATTAAATAAAGCCCAGTAAACAGACACATTCAGCACCAGCTCAGTGACATGATGTTTAAACAGAGGGGAGTTTGTGTATGGTCCCGTTACCAAGCATCCTTAGTTGGTGGCATCTTATGTGTCAAACAGGGGTGCAAAGTCTTAATTATGGTAAAGTAAAGGGTAGAAAAACAGAAAACGGTAGACAAAGTCTACTTTGTCTCCTTTTTTTCTGATCTTTGGGGAGTGTTTAGAAAGCATTCAGCCTGTTTTGCTATTTATGAATGCCACACAGGTTGATGTAGACTACTTGCAGAAGGGCTTAACTACTAAGAGTTAGACAAAAGTTCAAAACAATGTGAGACAATGAGAGGAAAGACGTTTTCCATTAAACAACATTAAGATGTAAAATAGTGAACTCATGATTAAATGTTTAAAAAGAGATTCCCTCATTGTCCGGGTTAGTTAGTAGTCATTGATTGAAATGTAGTTTGTGACACAGCTTCTGTAATTTCTCTTTTTCAGTGGAAATGTGCTGCAGTATCTGGAACTAAATGGAGCGAGGAAAGTGTGTTCATCTCATACAAAATATAAATCAAACAAATGATTTCCTTGTATTTCAACATTTAAAAATGATGCCCTTAACTTGCCTTGTTTCGATATGATCAATTATTTCCTGCACATTAGCCTATTATACATTTAGCTCCTGCTTCTTGCATGACTCTATTAGGTGGACATGTTCCTTATCTCTTGCTTTTTTAAATCTTCTGTTCAAATTGAATCCTACACGTTTATACCGTGTGAATCAAATATGCATCCGTTCTAAATGAGTCAATGCATGCATATATAATAAAAACGCACTATTCGTCCAAGAACACTTTCCATGCATAGATGTGATTACTTTCGCACAGAAGCAAAGGTGCTCTTAAATGTTTTAATCGTCTGTTTCACAATACCAGGAACTAGTCTAGTCCCACATTGTGGCCTTCTGGTTCACTTGAAGGCACTCAAACGTCACCGACAACATGGTAGTATCAGTGCTCGAGCTACTTGGGAGGTCATGTCAAAATCCACCAAGTCGACTCTGCAGTATTTAGACTGCAACACAGATTATTAGAAACGGACTCATATTTCATGTTTTAACACGATATCACAATAAATGAGGCAAATGTGTGTTTTGGGCAGCTACTGCCTGGAAATATTAAAATAATTGAACTTACTGAGTCCTCACTGTGCTTGTTGACCGTGAGACGACGTCGACAACGTCAATACAGGAGAGCAGTACCTCCTGTCAACCACACGATGGCGACCACCGACAACCAAACCGACCGCTTAAAGATCCACTGGTGTCTTTCAAGGATATTTAAAGCGTATAGCCTAATAACATGACTGCATATAACACCACACTGTTATATATACTCAAGTACAAGCTACTCAGCAAAATGTACGGATGAATCGGCAGCGAGTATCACAAGTGAAAGTAAGCCACGCAGCCATGACACAAGCAAACAGGTGTTTTCACCTATTTGATTAGACTTCTTGGACGTGGAAGAGTGCAGACTTGTGTGCTTGACTCACCTGACTGTTAAATTTGACCTGCATCAATTTTATTAGTGCATGTAAGCTTATTAAATGCGACTTTGGTTCCAAGATACTGTCAAAAAAGCCAAAAAAAGATCTGTGTGCAGGACTTTTAATCTGCAAAATAACTATGTATAACTGTCAGCTGAAAAGTACTATATTTAAGTAGAACATAGCATGAAATGGGAGTAGGCTAGTTAAGTTAAGTAGGGTAAGTATCTAAAAAATGTACTTAATTACAGTACTTATTTTTCACTGTTGTAAATGGAAACATCCTTTCAGCGTGTGAAACAAAGGCACTCAGAAACAACACATTAAAAATACATGCACCCCTCAATTCAAACAGGATCCAATACAATTATAATTAGGTTATAATTAGTTTTGCTAATCTCGGTTGTTATTCTAACCTAAATAAGGAAATGGATCATTCTCTAAAAGCGACCCTTTTAAGTGGTAGAAAACCCAGTTTGGCAAATGAGAGGCCAATATGTGTTTTTTGTATAATCTACTCTTTTCTATAGTTTGAGCAGAGAATGATATCCCTCTAATCTCATGTAATGTTATAGGCTATCAATAATATTTTCTTCTCTCCATATTGTTTTTGATATGAAACTGACCACTCTTGCTGACAGCTATATGGAATATTTAAACTTACAGCTGCACAAAAGATTCTTTCATAGTGTGCCGAGTCCTCTTTGGCTACATTCACAAATCCAATGCTCGAGTCTATTTCCATCTCCATTGCTGCCTTCCCCCTCACCATTATGCATACAACCACTTCATTACACATTAGCTAGTGTCAGGGTATTTTTAGACCTCTACATATCAGGTCAAATTCTTCTTTCAGTTTCCATGCTTAAGGCTGTCTGGCTCTTAGCACATAAAACAATTTAGCTCATTATCGCCACTTCTTCCCTTGAAGTGAAACAGCTGAAGTGATTGTAAAGCGAGACGACTGAGACCTACACATTAGCGAAGCTGAACAGAGCACAATTAAGGCAGCAGACGCGTGACATCAGCTATGTGCCCGAGGTGTGTGGTGACCCTGGCTGAGTCTGGTCCGTCTGTGGTCTCTGTCTGTCCGGACCACATACAGCCCTGCAGGCCTCATCAGCTGGGTTGAGTTGTGAAAGACGGCCAACACCATTCCCTTCATCTGATTTGAACAACAGATTTAGATTGTTATAGTGACAATATTAATATCTATTGGACTGTGTACATACATTGAATCAAAGTTCAACATGCATTAGCTCTTATCAGGCATTCATTTCCCTTCTTCTGCCACATGTTGCATTACAAACAAAGACCATGAGAATCTTCCAAAAATGCAATTTAAAGACCTGAACCTTATAATCATGTCCAGTATTTTATTGTGTTTATCCTAACTTTTAATTGTTAGTCTTACTTGATTTTCCTCTGGTCCTACAAAAATCTAATTTCCACACAGGGTTTGTAAAAGTGTCATCTAATCTAAAACAAAAGTGTAGCTTCAAGCCTGCTACTCAGCATCTTTGTCTATGTCCATGGCCACCATTGGACT